AACGCTCGTGAGACGAGTGAGGCTTGAGAATGAAAATCAAATTTGAGGCTAATCAAGCCTCTGCCTCTTTCTCGGCCTTACTTTTTGTTCCCTCTCTCTCTCTCTCTCTAATTCTCTTCAACAGCCATTTAACTTCCTACACTCATTCCATCTAGTTAGGGTCTTGGCTTTTTTGTTGATTTCTATCGATTTCCAAATTTTCTCCATACTGGCATAGTTTTCATATCCAGCTGAGCATTTGGCATTTGACAGGTCTACTAGGTTTCCTGTGTGGGCTGTGTTCAGCCAGTTCTGACTTTTTGACTTGCAACATTTGCAGGCTGCTTTATGTTCAAATAACCTCTTATGTATGGGTCGACGGGTCTCCTCCACATAGACATTACCACAGAAACACAAAACCTTATAGCAGCCAGATTTGGGAAGTTGATCTGAAATTTTTTGAAAAGATAACATTACTGAAGAAAGCGTTATTTTATTTATAAATTTTCCTAATATCCCACTTCCCCAATAGTTCATATATCTTTTTCGAAAACTTGCACGACGATAACATCAGGACCCTAGTTAAATGGTCCAGTTGCATATCTTGCCCCCCAAATCTTATTCGCTAGTATTTTCAAGCACTTCTCAATTAATCATAATGGGTAATCATTATCAACCAAATTTTTCTTAAAATAACCTGGTGATGGCTGCGAAACATTTGGGAATGTACCAAGTCCACGGTCCGAGGTTGGAAATTATGCTAACTACTATAGAAGAGGACCTCGGACAAGGTGTCCAACTAAGTTGCCCTGACAACACGATAACTTTGCGAAAAAGAGGTCAGACCACTCATATAACTCAGTTCTTTTTATAGTAAAAATTCACAGCGGTATCCAATATACATTTCCTCGCGAATCCTAGATCAATCTTGCTCTACACCAGTTCTCTGTAGACTATGTTAAGTTATGATCTTCCTATCAATAGCGTATCAACGGTTTTTATGAGTATAGCATTGTAAATAGCTTATCATATTAATTTACGTAATAAACTGAAAAGCCTACTCTTATTAATCCTTTTTGGGGATTTGCTTTCCTTGCATGCTACACAGTATTACTGAAGCTATAAGCTAGGAAGGGCTTGCTTAGTATCCAAACCTATTCCTCTCTGTCCCTTTCTTCATTGGAGCTTTAGCTATCATATTTTCTCTAACACTAATTCAACATTTTTTTTCTTTTTCTTTCTCTTTTCTCTCTATTTATTTCAAACGTTTGATGCCACTCATTTTACATTCTTGTTCTCTTGCTTCCTCTGTCCATACTGTCTATTCACTCCGACGCACTGCCTGTTCTTGTTCCTATAATGTAATGTTTACTTGCCATCCTCAACAATTTAGATACTGCAAAAGATTTGCCGGCAGACGGCCGTGACCATGTAACCTTAAAAGGACGCCACGTTCTCATACTGCATCCTGTTTCTTTCGCCATATTTTGTCATTTCGGCTAGTGTGCTTACTCTCACCCTCACCACTCCGTTTGCTTCACAAGACCTCGATACTGTGCGCTCTGCGCAAACTTTGCTGGGCTTAAGTCAAGCACAAAGGCAAGTAGGTCGTGTTGATATGTTGTTGAAAGAGTGCGTCTTATAACTGAAAAATAGGCCTGGCCTGGCAACCTTGTCCTAGACTTCTGAAACGCGTACTTATTCACCTCTTCCCTACCAAAGTGCACGCGTCGCAAATGAGCGCCAACCTAGGCCTGGCTGTTAGTATCGGACTGGCGTTTTTACACTGCAATCCCCAGTCTCTGTAGAAAGCCACTTTTGATCATCACTGTCTCTTAATTTAAGCAGATGGGCATTTGATAAAACTACTCAGTTTACTGATACTTTCTACTTCTACTATACATTATTATTCAATTCTCTTCATTTCTGCAATTAATTGTTACTTATTTCAAAAAAGGCTCTGATGATATATTCTTCATTCATATAAACTCTTTAGTCATATTTGTTTAGGTTGAATGCTGCTATTGCCTCACGCTATATTGAGTCATTATCGTTTACTATCTATCTATCTAGTAGTTTTAATTCAGAAAAAATATTCTAATTTTTTTCCCTCCAAAGACGTATAAGCTTTATGCAGAATACGCATTCTGGCTAACCTTTAAGTTTTCCACCCAAAAATTATTTGCCTGGCTGCACTAAATGATAAACAAATAAGGTATGTTGTTTCATTCCACTCTTTGTGAATAAGTTTGTGCATAAATACATTATCTAAATTGATCATCATCTAGGGAATTCGTTTTCTCATATAGGCAGAAATATGTATACATATATATTTTCCCTTTTATGCCGTTGTACTGTATTTTATAGCCCTTTCGGTTGATTGATTGTAGTAAAACACTGTAATTCGACATCACCGAACTTTTTTTACCTTTATCTTGTCATAGTATCACTCTGCATTTTAGATTAATTTTTACCTCAAGTAAACAATGAAGAACGTGCCACTTACTGCGTCCTCTGCCATTATTATCATGCCTATTAAGAATAGCTAGGCTTCAAAGAATTCCTTGATGATTTAATTTGACTCGACTCCATTTCAAAGGAAAATTTGAACGCAAAGGATTTGTGAATTGGCCTCATAGCAATCAAAATATTTATTAATGTTGGTGAACAACTAACTGGCCAAACTTGAGGAATACTTATTGGAAGAGGCAATAATAATATCCAACTCCCCATATTCCATCATGCGAAAGATTAAAAAATCTATAGAAGGCTACATAACAGCCAACATCCTGAAAAAAAGGAGTGTCTATGAATAAGTTGAGAGGGGGGAACAGTGAGTACCGCCGAGCAAGAGTAGGCTTGATTAGCCTCAAGTTTGCTTTTTACTTTCACTCTCGTGTCTCACGAGCATTGCATGCACATAACGCACCTTCAATGGAGCACAATCACATGTGGCAACTTTGCAAGGTCGAAAATATTAGTAATTTATGAGAGGATGCAACTATTCGATCGTAAATGAATCCGCTTCACGCTTTCTTTGCATCCACTTAACATGTAACCCGCAGCCACCTCACTTTTTAACAAGCATGTTGGAAGAGCATAGGATATTCAACCAAATCATGGGATGTATCACTAAGTAGGTATAGGCTATAAAAATGAGGTAAAATCACAGCCGGTCACCTTTCGTGACTTTGTGCTTGGCAAAGTATTCTAAAGCATGGTGTCCTGCTCTGAAGATGTCCCTCACATGACGGACAAAAGCTCAGCAAAGATTCATCAGGGTCGCGGGACGGTGAGTCGAGGACTTATTTATACAAATCTACAGTCACATCTCCAAGGCAACTCCACTTTGACTTTCGGTGAGGCCAAATTATAAATCTCTCCAACTCGACTTCAGACGAGATCTAAGATTTTCCAACATCAATCTATTAAAAGATTCCTCGAGAACCAGTTTTTATGCATTTATACAAATAATGATGACCTTCAAATGAATACTGTTGGATTGTATGAAGAAGTCTTCCACACTTTAAAACAAATCTTTTTTTGGAAAGAAAAATTTGAGTTACAATGTTGTTATGTGCCTTTCCAACATCAGAACGTTAACGGACTACACTCCCAGACGTTTTGTCGGCACTACAGTTGACCTCGTTATTTTGCAGTATAATCCTTTGAATTGAGTTAAAATTCGGCATGGATAAATCACTGACGATTCCCATTACTACTCCAACAAAACGTCTGGGAAGTTATTCGGTCAACTGTACGATGTCGGAAAAACAAATTACATCATTCACAGGACTTAGCGTGGTGTCCGTTATTCGAGACCTCTTTGGGAACATGACTAAGTTGTTGAAACATGGCTAACCCAACTCTATAATGTTTTACAATTTTGGCCTATAAAATAAACTTTAACGGTGTTAAATTGATCTCAATAGTATTTTCATTAACCTCCTCGATATGTGACATGTTTGAATTCTATTGGTTCTCTCATTCGAGCAAAATGTCTTATTCATTACTTTTCTTCCTGCTTTGAATAATGTGCATACCTCAGTTTTAGTGGTTGTTAGGCTTCAGACCTTATCTTACATTCGTTTTAATATTTATGTTCAAACTTCATTTCGTTCAGCCATTTTCTCGGCGATCATGCCTCAAACCAAAAACTTTTTTTATTTGATTGCAACATCCACGTTTTTAAGCTTAAAATTTAAAATAATATTTTCATAATTTACGGCCACCTTTAGGTTTATCTTATTTTGGTTGTATTTAGTCAGCACATTTGTTGAACGTTGTATGCAGTTTTCGTTCTAATTGTTCTCATATACCGGCTATTTTTTTCTTTAGGCTTTATACACGCCTCTCCACTTCGCTGCATTGACTGGCAATGTGTTCGCCGCTCAGCGCATCATCAATCATCATGATCTAACTAGAGTCGCCTTACTTATTCTCGGTTTATCCGACATCCCGACTGTCGACGATGGGGCAGTGGCTACGACCAATGTGCCTGGTGAGCCAGCTAGATGGCCGTGTGAGGCCTTGGAGGTTGGATCTAGCACAGGTGGGGACTCAGTTCCTAGGATGACGAGCGTGCAGGCAGTTCATCCGGCTCCGCCACTCTTTTTGGCTGCTCAAAAAGGACACACTAAGCTCTTTGAGGTTTGCTGACAATAGACTAAATAATATAAAGGAAAAAGATTAGGGATAACGACAAATCATGATCTAAAATTTAAGAGTTGAATTCTTTTAGCATTTGTACTGAGGTTATTAGATTTTTTAAATTCAATGTGCGCTTACTAGACTATATAAATAGATGCTCGACCTGGGTTTTAATGACTTAGAGTTACCGGTGTCATGCACTTTATTAGTATGAACTCTTGTGGCCTAGGAGTCTTCCTATTCGAAATGACTTAATTTATGGTTTTCTGTCTCGGAAATTGAGTAGTCATAACAGATTGAATTCATGTAGATTTTATTGTATTGTGGCAAGTTGTAGGATTGTTTGAAATATGATGCGAAGGAGATATGCTGAATGGGGAATCTGCTTTTGTGGTTCCAATAGTAGTAGAATATTTTTCTGAGCTCATTATATATTCAGTTCTCTTTTCGAATTTTATTATCCGAAAGGAGTTTTGTGCATTTTTCGATACCAGTGTCAAAACTATTCTACGCATAAATTCTTTCTCCAATTCCTTACTATCCAGGCAAAAAAGTAATGCTTATTTTTTGCACTTTGCTGCTCGAACGACTGACGATGTGCATTTATATTACTAATCCGAGTAGTTTTCTTTTATACTCTCACTTGGATCACGTCCTATCTAAGCGATATATTACTGTGGCATTTATCTGTAGTATGTGAAAAATAGTCTTCTCAAGTTAAATAAATTTGATATATTAATCCTATCCTGAGTTACCTTGTCACTCTGAAATGCATTATATGCATAATGACCTATTTCTATTTATCCTATAAGAGCTTGTATTTAGAATTAATTTATCTTATTTATTTATTATCTTATTATTATTAATTTATCTTACTTGCGTAGTGGAATCAGCACCATCAATCTCTTAAAAACTTTACTCTAGTTCCTCTTCTCTCTCCTTTCCATTTCTCGATTCTACCTGACAAATCTAGCTTCTGCTGCACACTTGCATAAAGGCCAGGCGTGTTTGCTTGATGTCGGCCAAGCGCGTGCATGATAACGCGGGCTCAACCACTACTGTCTCTGCTTCACCTTCCACCACTCTATATTCATCCTCAACAGTTGCAGTATCAGCGACACATACTTCTAATGTGGCTTCCTCCTCTACTCCACAGCCACATCGGCTCTTTCAAGTGCATCTTCCTTCCCAGCTCCCACTGCCAGGTTGGATGACTGATTCTCTCGGCCGAACGTCTCTTCATCTTGCTGCCCAAGCTGGTAGATTAGATATTTGCCGTCTCCTCCTGCAGATGCCCTCTACTTCCTGTTCCTCGTCTAAGTCATCTAATCTTAATGTAACTGCTGCCAGCCCAAGACACGATGTCCTTAATATTTTGGAACCTATGTTCGGGAGACGGAAAGAAATCGAGAGTTGCTTACAACACTTGCGGCCATTGGAGGTTTTAATTAACAGCCGAGACGAGGAAGAGGATGAAGACGAAAAAGATTATAAGGAACAAATTGACAACTTGGGGACACCCATCGTGAAGTGGAGGCGATGGAATAGAAAGGGTGTTGACGAGGATGGAATAGATGCTGGAGCGGAAGAGCATAATGAGGCAAATGTCTATGATGATAATGAGAATATAGAGCTTGATGAGGCTTATGGGAATAATGAAACGGAAGAAGAGGAAGTAGAAGTTGCCGAGCCGAATTTAGAAAAAAATGGCGAGCTGGAAACTTCTTTCAATGAAATTGGGAGTGGAGCAAACTTAAGTGCATGCGACGCTGTTTACCGTTGGACCCCATTACATCATGCCGCCGCTCAGGTAGGCCTTCATTTTTTGTCTATCGATAAACCGTATTCACAAATTTGCCATTCCTCATTTGAGATCCTCCAGTCTTGCTTAATTTTTTTTATATACTCTCTATTTTTTTCATTATTGGCCTCACTTTAACCAGTAATGGTCAGAAACAAGCAGAGGACTCATGCCCTTAGGTTGGTTTTTTTCATTTAATCTCTTTCTTACTTCACTCAATATTTCTTTCCTCCCATTTATTAAACTTTGAATTTTCAGATTATCTATGCATTGGGCTCGTATGCTACGCTCTCTATTGTTCATCCCTCTTGGTGGCCAAATATTATATACTTATTGTGGCAAAATTCTAGTCGTGTACTTTTCCTAGACT